TTAGGCAGTGTTTGGTTTGGGGTAATATCCTATACAGGGCGGAATCTGATGCCCGGAATGTGATATTCCCGTGTTTGGTTCGCGGGGTTGGTTTTTTTTGGAATGCTACATTCCCAAACCCCAAAAAAGGAATGAGATTACCCTTCATCTCAAACCCAATACGGCCTTAGGTTATCTGAGATTCCCGCAACTCTCTTCCAAAAACACCCATGGCCGCAACACTCTTCTTCCGTAGAATTTCAAGCGCCGCGCAGCTCCCTCCTTCGAACGCAGCTCTCTTCTCCATCTTCAAAATCAGGTAATTTCTTCCTCTATTTTTAATTTTCTGTATGTGTTCTTCTACACCCTCCTTGTTCACCCCTTAAATTCTCAGGCATTGTATTCCCCTCCTAAGCCTCTGCTTCTCCGTTTTCTTACCCTAGCTGGTTGGAATCTGTAGCCTTCTTATTATATCTATTGGCATGTCGTTTTCTTGGGATTTGAATGCCATGAATACTACTGCTTGGGGTTTTGTAGGACTGATTTGTTTTTATGGAAGATATTACACTGATTATCTCCATTTATAAACGCCCGTAGCCATTCTATAATTTACCTATTTTTATCATAATCCTACCTGCGGCTCTCCCTGCCTGTGGACCTGGTATAATTTCAAAATTGATTGAAGTGTGCATAGGTTTGGGTTCTTCAATAGATTGATGTGATTTTTATTTTCAATTGTGTTCTGTGAGTAAAGTGTATTTCAATTGTTAAGAGACAAATGTTTAATGGGCACTTAAGTAATTCATCAAACATGGAATATAAGATATCAATCAACCAAACAACTTAATGTCACATTCCCTTAATCGTAACCAAACACAAATGGGTTATACATTAATCACATTCCCATCTATCTGGCATACCCAGTAATCTAACATTCCCACGGTAATCTGATATTCCTTGAACCAAACATACCCTTAGGGTTAGACTACGTAAAATCTACCAAACTCATTTAGAGTTGAGAAAATGTACAAATATACCCTTGTAGTATGAGTGTGAGAACAAATATACCCTTGCTTTATTTTTTCGAACAAATACACCTTTGAGTATATGTTGAAATCATATATACCCCTGAACTTTTTAAAAGTGCAAAAATACCCCTCATGTTCTTATAAAGGAGCAAATTTATCCTTATTGACTTTAAACAGATACATATTTATTATTACGTTGAAATGTTAACTCTTTAATTTTAAATTGCAAAATTATTATTTTTCCGTTGTAAATGAAGCATTTCAAATTCATAAATACGAACTATTATTAGTCTTGTTGCGATATTTTGAGCACATTGCTACATTTTTTGAAATAACATTTTTTTATTTTGTTTAACCTTAATAAAATTAAATTCACTATTTTGTAATTAGATTATTTATCATCATACAAATTATGTAATTTTATAGTGCAAAGAATACAAAAAAATAATATTCCCTCCGTTCCTATTTTATCTTCCAAATAGATTTGGCACACAATTTAAGATAGTGGTATTGTGTGGTGGAGAGTTGTGCAGAGGAGAGAGAAATGTGTAAGAAATGTTGTGAACCACAAATTCTTTACTAAAAAGGGAAAGTGGAAGTTTTAATTGGAACGGACGAAAAAGGAAAGTTGGAAGTTTTAATAGGAACGGAGGAAGTATATTTTTACATTGCAACACATATTTTAACACCTTTTCGAAGAATCTTAAATATAATGTAATGTTTTGAAATAATATTTTATACTAACAATATTAAATTGTGATATATAAAAAATAAAAGGGAGAATTGGACACAAGTACATTTTTAATTTTTTTTTAATTTCGAATTTATAATTTAATTTTGGTGTTTTTTGAAATTTGTTTTATAAATTTAAAGTCAATAAGGGTAAATTTGTTCTTTAACAAAGAACATGAGGGGTATTTTTGCACTTTTTAAAAGTTTAGGGGTATATATGCACTTCCACATATACTTTAGGGGTATATTTGTTTCTAAAAATAGAATATGGGTATATTTGTTCTGACATCCATATTATAGGGGTATATTTGTACTTTTTCCTTTTAGAGTTTAGTGATTGTATGAGACAGTACGACCGAGTCCATGATAGCGAGTTTAGACCTGAATCTGATCAAAAACGCCTTTTATAACGGCTATGAGTCTATATTTTATTCCGTTTACCCATTTTAAGATTTAGACTCGTTATTTTTCATTAGAATCAAGTATGGTAATGTTGATTCCTACCCGTTACAAATGTTATATATTCAACTCAAACTTTTCTGATTTGGTTTGGTGTAGTCTGGTCTGATTTGTTTAAGTCTAGTCTTGTCTTGTTTGATCTGGACTGGTCTAATGTATATCTTTTATATGCGCTTTTACAATCGTTAAAGTCTAATCTGATCTGATTTGATATGGTTTGACCTAATTTGTTTAAGTCTAATATAGTCTCCGACTGAAATGAGTCCAATTGAAAACATTCTAAGGACTCGTACTGATAGAGTATATCTAGAGAGAAGTGAGAGCTAGAGAGAGAAGTGCAATAATATGCTTCAATAGAATGAATTTGTAACCCCTATAACTACTCCCAATGGGAGTATTTATAGAGAAAATACGGTTCTTCGTGGGCTGTATACAAAGCCACTAATGGGCTGTACAACTGGACCGCTACTGGGCCGAATACAAAGCCACTAATGGGCTGTACAAATGAGTAAGTGTAAAATCCGGTTCTGGGAGGTCTTCGTGGCCGACGAGGGCGTGGCCGACGAGGGCGTGGCCGACGAGGGCGTGGCCGACGAGGACACCCGAGTTCCTTGGGCTCAGAACCATAATCTGAGTTGGCCCCTTTTCGGCCGATGGGGGCGTCTTGGCCGACGAGGGCGCCACTCCGTGTCTTGTGCTTTCTGTTCTTCCGAGTATGTGGGTCCGGGGGCTCAGACCCATATACTCCATCACGTACCATTTAGAAATTCACATGCTCGGATACTCGTACTAATACACACACAAATAGACATATAGTTACTACTTCATACACACATGACATATCTTTTAATTTGTTTTTCGAGAAGCAAATGTTTATTACTTGTTTCAGTTTTGTTTATTTTTTAATTTGTTTTTTATCGCATTTGATGTTATATCAAAATTATGTAATCATTATGTCTCAAACTCTAAGTTTTATTTTTATCTTTTTATATTTTTTCATCTCCATAAATGAATTAGTTCAAATGTGTGTCTATAATTTTTAGAAATTTTGCAATATTCTTAACTTCATATTGAACAGGTCTACTCTGTCTTCATTCAAGAACGGCGAGCAACAACAAAATTCATCAGCAATGCAGAAGTCAGGCTTCACAAAAGGATGATCAAAATGCAAAAACATTTTGATAAACTCCTGGATATGAGGTTTGCAGAAGTACACTGCCTCATCAAGAGCAACCTTATGATCCAGCAAGTCTTCAACTATGAGCAAAAGGTACAGCTCCGAAATCAACTCTCCGAGCAGCCAGCTCAAATTGAAGCCATACACAAGGAGCTTGCAGAATTACGTGCTAAGGATGAAGAGCTGGAGAATCAGATTCTAACATCACTAAGACAGTTGCGGCAACAAGAACTAGCAGCAGCCTCCCAACCGGAAGCAGAGTCCTTTGCCCAGGTACCTACTCTATCTTATCTTCCTCTTAACCTAGAACAGGCTCTTCAAAAGGTGTAGGAACATGAAGACCGCACCAAGCTAAGGAGTGAAGAGTTCTCTGCTATGCTCAAGCTCTCTCAAAAGTTCCTTATGGAGCAGCAGGCTCATGCTCAAGCCTATGAGCAACTAACAAAGGCCATTGAGAACAACTTCAAAGGTCTTCAAAAGGCAACACAAGACACATTTTGGAAGGAAGGAAGTGATTTCCAAAAGCTGGGTCAAGATCTACAAAACACAAAACATAGGCTACAAGGCCTGGAAAATGAAGTCAAGGACGATGTGAAGAGTGACCTCATGGATATCCGCAACTACATCAAAGCATTGTTCTTTGAGGTATATGGACTGGATCCAGCAACGAGAAGACAAGAAGAACCTGACTCTGATAAAGAAATAGAAGCCCTCTTCAGAGAAGGTGAGACCCCTGCTCATGATGCCAAAAGGGGGGAAAGAATAACTCTAGCAAGCCCCTCCTCCTCAAGTTCATTAGCAACCAAGAAGGCAACTGAAACAAGAAGAAAGAACAAACTCTACCAAGAGGAAAGGGAAATCCGACGAAGGAAAGAAGAAGCCAAAGCAAGAGAAGAGTCCAAGAAGAAGTTAGAAGATGTCAACAAGAGAAGACTTGACCAACAGTCCGAAAGTGATTAAAAACTATTATACTTTAGATTTTAAGAACAATGTACCATTCTCATGTTTGATAAATAAAAATATTTGGTTCCTGCGTTGTATAGTTTTGGCATCATCAAAAAGGGGGAAATTGTTAGTACCCAATTTTGATAGAATTTGATGATGCCACTATACATTGCTCTTGTACATTGTGTCTTATTTACTTTGAGTGTTAGTGTTAAAAATCAAATCATAAGTGACAAATCAATGTACAATTTTTGTGACTAATAAAATTATACGGGAAACTCAAAACGCAATAAGGTAATTTTTATCTTAATAGGATATTTAGATCCTACCGGTATATATTTATTTAACTCAAAAATTAATATTGTCACAAAAATAAATAAAGTAGGAATATCATATACAAAATTAATGCAAAATTGTACATGGGACCTGGAGCATGGGGCGTACACAATAAAATTGATGGAGTATATGGACTCCGACACCCCCGGTCTGCTTATTATTGGGCCTGGACAACAGTTCACGTACATCTAACAGATGCCATTTATATTATTGTACAGTTTACACATTCATTGTATGCACTAGATTAGCCTCTTATGTTATCAGTCTTTTTATGTAACCGGGTCTATCAGGCACATATTAGAGGCCCAGACCCGAATTTTCCCTATATACACTCCTTATAGGAGGCTATTGAACCACAACCAATATTCATTCACAATAAACATATATCTTCTTCTCTACTACACTCTTGCTCAAATCTCTTTAGTTATAGGATATGAGTATCAATTATCCAACAATGGTGCTCTCGTTGAGAGGTTTGGACACAATCAAGTGAGAAAACCTCCAAAAAACAAAACAAAAATCACCCAAAATCATTCTGCAAACAGCAAACAAAACAGATTTCAAAATGTCAACCACAAGAAGAAAATAGGGAAACCTATGATCTACGTCCACCTTCAACACCACCGATGTGCGCCAGGCTCCAGTTATCGCCGCCACACGCCAGTAGCAGTGGCTTGCCGCCTGCTGGAGCTCACCACCCATCCCCAGGACTGTCCGGAGCCGCCTGTTCAGTCCTCTGCATCTCGCTGCGACAAGCACAACCTCCTTTGTCACAACCCTGCCAATGTTGCACCTGGTGGTTCCACGACCGCACCGGTCCCACAGTGAAGGTGCCAAGATGAGAACGGCGATGCTGCCTTTCCTCCGAATCAGTCTCAAAAGCAGCTATCCTGAGTTGCAGCACGACCAGTTGTTGTTCGTCGGCAACGGCCAAATAGAAACTAGTGCCACTTTCTCGCTACTCGCCTCCCTCCACGGTCCGGCCAAATGCAGCTCGGGCTGTAACAAATCTAGCGAGTACAGATCTAGCGAGGGTGGACAGATCTAGCGAGGGTGGACGAATGAATCTCTGCCAGCCGTTAATGTTGAGTACAGATCTAGCGAGGGTGGATGAAGCTCTGTTCCCAACCCAAGTTGTGGATCCAGCTTGCGAAGCCCAATCAGAGCCACACAGTCGCCGGAAAATCCACGCATAGCAGCGGCGGCATCCACTGACGACGCCTTGCACCCAGCGGTAAAAGCGTCCGAGAAGCAGCGGCATCTCCGACGAGCTCCCTTCCACTCCCACGACGCACATGGACGAATACCTGTGATGTTTCCAAGCGCCCAGCAGTCCGGATAAGCTGTCATCTTCCTTCTGACCGACGGTCGCCTCTCTCTCAGTCGCCTCCATTTCCGGCGGCAGCAGATGAAAGGCGTGGTTGGCCGGGTTATCTCTATGATTGAGAGCGTCAACTGGCCATATGAGAATATAGGTCAGGGAGTTTTGGTCCAAGTGAAAAGTAGCAGGCTAGACCATATTTGGAAATGTTTTGATGGGCTCGATTTCAACAACACTTCAAAAAGTAGCTCAGGCATCACTAATCAAATCATCAACAACATGGCTGTCGGATTTTAACAAATTAGATTGAGTCCAAAGGAATCAACCGGATATTATTCTTTTCAGTGAGTCCAATGTATTTCAGCCCATAAAAAGATAAGTACTCCCTCCGTCCCCTTTTAAATGTCCCATTTTACCATATTGGGATGTCCCTATTTAATTGTCCCATACCTTATTTGGTAAAGTTTGTGTGACTCAAAATCATTTTTACTTTATTCTTACTTTATCTATTAATATCAACCACACAAACCTACTTTTCTTAAAACTCGTGCCACCCTCTTCCGGGACATTTAAAAGGGGACGGAGGGAGTACTTTTTAATTTTCATATTATTTATGTTTATTTAAATCATTTTTTTGTCGGGTGAATGTCACACTATCACGCACTTATGATCAAATGCCTAGTAGAGTGTGGCTTGAGACTCATCACTGGGATTTAAAGCCCTGACTATCAGGCACAAAGCCCTGACTCTCAGGCATGAAGACCCGTCTTAGTCATTCCAAGAGTGGCGACTGTTGCGTACGAATGGCTCACACATCCACTCTACTAAGTATTTTATCATTACATTAGCAATTCACATTTCCACTTTTTTCAAGTGGATTTTTTTATATGCATGTTAAATGGGTAGGTACGAAGATGACTTTACTCATTTTCACCTCATCTTCACTCGCCTCAAGGAGTGGGGGACTGGGGGACTGAGGGGTTAGATTTTCTAGATGAGCAGCAAATATCACGCATGAGCAGGAACGAGAGCTAAGTCAGATGAATACGGGTTGAGCTAGAAAAAGTGATCAGGTCGGAGGGGGCCTACCTTCCTTGTCTCATGTTGGGGACGCTAGGTGTACTCTTTTTCCCTTTATTAGGATTTTTCCCACTGGGTTTTTTCCTAGTAAAGGTTTTTAACGAGGCACCTCCCCATCGTGGACAAGGGTGGTGGTCCCCCGGCCGAAGAGAAGAAACCAAAGACAAAAGAACGTTGCAGATACAATTGTGGATTACTCCCTTTCGCCTCGAGTACTCTCGGCTCAGGGATTGGGGGACTCCTGATGGAGTATATGGACTCCGACCCCCCGGTCTGCTTATTATTGGGCCTGGACAACAGTTCACGTACACCTAGCAGACGCCATTTATATTATTGTATAGTTTACACATTCATTGTATGTACTAGATTAGCCTTTTATGTTATCAGTCCTTTTATGTAACCGGGTCTGTCATGCCCATATTAGAGGCCTAGACCCGGATTTTCTCTATATATCTACAATATTATAAACATGAATAATGTTAGGGGTATAATGGTCGTTGAAAATGTGTTGTTGTACCTTTGATGTAATAAACGATGGTCCATCTCGATGCGAGAGTTGTACGATTATAATTGCGCCTACATAGCTAGGGTTTCCTCCGTTAACATCCGTTAACCCCGCGCTCTGGAGAAAACGGGGAAACCGGCGTTGCTGCCGACGCTATTGCAGCAATCGGGACGGGTATAAGACCCAAATCTAGCATCCTATTCGGTTCTCTGACCTTTCAATTAGAGGGAAACCACCATCCTTTAGAGTCCAGATGCGAACTACCTCCCCAGAAGATCTCAAGAACGACAACCAGATTCTGCCCTGGTCTGCTACGATGGATATACCACAGGCGACCGCGATAAGTCGCGACCAAAATATTAGGAAACAACATAGAATCTACTCTCGCGATGACAGGCAACATCAGCGGACGCAAAGGCGACGCCACCTCAGGGCTGGCAGTGGTAGGGTTGCGTACACATCTTGGAGCTGGAGATGGGCGGCGTGGGTGGCGCCAAAGAGACCGCATAGGGAACGATGACTTGCAGATCGTCTCTCTTGGCGGCCGGTGGACTGGGAACAGGTCCCTGCTGTTCAAAAGAAGTAGAACCATGACTTTTGGAGAAGAAAGGTTGTGGACTGCCGAAGGCCTGGGGAAGCTGCAAAAGCCATTTGATTGTGTCTCCTAAGTTCCAACGAGCAGGAGCTAATATTAGCTAGGGAAGGCAGATTTTGCAGTTTTTCTTCTGCAGGTCGACAGTGCCCAAGGTCCTTCTACGATGATGTGTGTCAATCCGAAGAAGGGATGCTCAAATTTCGGCTATAACGAAGTTGACAGTGCATTCCTGCTCGACAGGCTAGGCATTTAGAACTTACAGAAGACTTGACTATTGAAAGTAAACTCTTTTCTTTTAATATATCAGATTCTCCGAGGAGGAGGTTGCTCATGCTGAAGTAGAATTTTTAAACTCTCCTACTGATTCTAATAGAGAGAATTGGAGTCTTAAAAAAAGCCTTCTTTTGAGCAAATACAAACTGGAAAGGAAGTTCTGGAAACAGAAAGCCAATATCAAATGGTTAAAAGATGGTGACTGTAATTCAAAATATTTTCATTCTTTTGTGAAGATAAGAAGAAGAAGACAGATGATAAATATGATCCAGGGAACTGATGGCAGGGAGTTATCTACATTACCTGATATTAGCTCTGCAGCTGTGGAATACTATTCAAATCTTTACGCAGTGGAACCTGCAATTACAAATAATGACATTTTGAATAATATTCCACAAATTATCAATCAGGAGGACAATGACCTTTTGACTGCTATTCCTACAGAAGAGGAGGTTAGAAAGGCTGTTTGGGAATTAAACCAAAATGGGGCTCCAGGCCCTGATGGCTTTAATGGGAAATTCTTCAAAAAATGTTGGCAGATTGTTGGGATGGATGTGGTGAAGGCTGTACAGGAATTTTTCATTGGTGTTCCCCCTCCTAAAGGTCTATCTAGTTCTATGCTTGTTCTTATTCCAAAGTGTGATTTGCCTACTTCTTTTTCTGACTTTAGGCCTATCTGTCTATCCAATTTTACCAACAAAATTTGTACTAAGGTGCTGGCCTCCAGATTATTAAAACTGTTGCCTAAAATTATTTCTGAGGAACAAGCAGGATTTTTTCAAGGAAAGGACATTGCTGACCAAATCCTTATTGCCCAAGAGATGGTTCATGCTATTGATAAGAAGACTAGAGGATCAAATGTGATTATCAAATTGGACATGGCAAAGGCTTTTGATAAACTTTCTTGGGATTATCTTTTTGGGACCTTGGACAGATTTGGATTCTCCAGTAAGTTCATTTCTATTATCAGGAATAACCTACAATCTACTTATCTCTCTATTTTGATTAATGGAAGTTCACAAGGGTTTTTTCAACCCAAGAGGGGAGTGAAGCTGGGGGATCCTTTATCCCCTTTTCTTTTTATATTGGCATCTGAAGGATTCTCTAGAAGTCTAAAAGCAAGAATGGAGCAGGGGCTTATAAAACCTTTTTGGATGGGAAATCAAGGGGTCCCTATCAGTCATCTAGGGTTTGCTGATGACCTTTTGGTCTTTATTAATGGTGATGTTAGATCTTTAGCCAACTTTAAACAGTTTATTAAAGATTATCAGTCTGCATCTGGACAAACTGTTAACCTGGAGAAGAGTAGTTTTATCACTGGGAAAAATGCTACTTACAGAGCTTCTGTGATGCAAAACATCCTGGGAATGAGAAAATCCAATCTGCCCATGAAGTATTTGGGAGCTAACCTGCATAAAGGAAGGAATAGGTATCAATATTGTACTCATATAATTCACCACTTTGATTATAAGCTTTCCTCTTGGAAGCAGAAGAACCTTTCTCAAGAGGGGAGACTTGTTCTGATCAAATATGTTTTGAATACTATTCCTAATCATATTATGGCCACAGATAAGCTTCCAAAAAAGTTATTTCTACTTTGGAGAAGAAAATGGCATCTTTTCTTTGGGGTTCTACTATGGATAATAAAAAAATTCACTGGGCTAGATGGTCCAAAATTTGCTTTCCAGTTGAAGAAGGTGGGCTGGGGGTTAGATCTCTTAATGATGTTGAAAAAGCCTTTAGTTTAAAGTTATGGTGGAAATGGAAAAATCATGAAACTCTTTGGACTGCTTTTATGAAGGCTAAATACCCAAGAGTGAATATGTTACCTAAAGTGTCAGATTCTTCTGTTTGGAGGAGACTGTGTGATACTAATGAGATGGCTACTGACCTGATCTCTTTCAATGAGGATGGTATTATGCAATGGGATCCTGGAAAACATGGCATATTTACTTTAACCTCTGCATACAATGAAATTAGAGATACAAGGTCAGTTACATTCACTAATCAGCATATATGGAATAAACATCAACAAATGCAGATCAAGGTTTTTATGTGGAAACTCATGAACTCCTACTTGCCTATCCCAAATATCCTACAGAAATTCCAGATTGTTATTCAGCCCTCTATGTGTCCTTTCTGTAGGAAATGCAGTGAAACTACAAATCATATTTTCTTTGGGTGTTCTTACACACAAACAATCTGGAAACACTTCATGAGTATTTTTGGCATTTCAATGTCTAATTCTCCTTCTAATAGACATATTTTGATTCACTGGTGGCTTGAGGCTGGTTCTAAAACCTTGGAAGACATATTTAAACATAATTTGCCTGACATCATTAGTTGGTATTTATGGAAGACTTATGCAGCGTATAAATGGGGTGAAAAACCTATTCCAGATTCTGAATGGCTCATTTCTCAGATAAAAATCTTCACACAACAATGGGCAGTCTAGCTTGCTATTATCAAAAGCAGGAAGGTGGACGGTTTTTTAATACAAGAAGGTTTAATATCCGCTAGATTCAAATTCAGAAGAACAGGTCCGCAAATAATCAAATGGAAAAGATCTAGTAGGAGTTACAAATTGAATGTTGATGCATCGTTCATACCTGACAGAGCTACGGGTGGAGCTATCCTGAGAAACAAAGAGGGCCATTTCGTCTGGGCGGTGAGCTTCCGTCTGAGATCGATGTCGTGTGAGGAAGCGGAGCTCGA